CAAAATGGTATGAATCTCAATGGGAAAACTTTTCTTCTACAGCGCGATATTTCGAGTGGGAAAAAACGCCATTACTTATGGGCCGACCCACTATTTTGCCATATCTTTTATCATATCACCTGTTTTGTCTAACAGGACATTCTAAATGGGAGATAATGGGCTCAGATTCGTTAGCGTCGTGTCGTTGTTCAAAGGTCGCTGCTCACTACCATTTGAAAGAGGGTCGCACTATGGAGAAAGAAATGATGGTTGTAAGTCCCCGCCCACGCGGCTATCGAGGAATACGCTTTTAAAACCCGGCTCCTGGCAAGCTGAAAGAGAAAAGGACGGACTCCAAAGATCCTGTGGCTCAAAGGCTGGAAATTGGGTTTCACTCATTCAGATGTTTAGTGGTGGCCATGATAAATACCACTGATAATCTTCTTATGAAGTCGTTTGCGTTTTCAAATGAATTTATAGTTATCCCTTTTCACTTCTGGGCTCAAGTTTTTGGACAACATGGCAGTGCCTTTTCGTTCAGCTCCAAGGGTACCTCCAACGATCTTATTTACTTACTTAATTTATTGCTTATCTAGACCCTCCTCCATGTCATACGCTTTATCTCATATGCTCCTTGCAAACTGTTTCATGATGGGCCACGTTGCTGTTGAAAACCTCTTTTAAAATTGTTGATTACAGGTAATGGAGGAGAAGCATAGCACGTTCATCGTTGACGCTTTTGCAGCGAAGAGATTTGCTGGGAATCAGGCCGCTGTGTGTTTGATTCCTCGGGTAGGTGATCGCCTTCTACGAAATACGCAGGTTTGGCTTGCGGACGGTGCAGGAAGGTGGGCGCTGTTGGGCTTAGGAGGCGGGAGGGAAGGGAGGGGAAGGGCGTTTCGCACTTCAGATAGTTCCATTTACAAGTTTACCTTAACCAGAAGATTTCACTGGGTGAAACCACTACATTTTCGAGGCGACCAAGTGCTAAATGTGTGCCACTTCGATTATGAATTTCAATTTTAGGTGTTAAGGGATGAGGAGTATCAGCAAATTGCCGCTGAATTTAACCTGTCGGAAACAGCCTTTCCAATCCCGACTGACGGCAATTTTCAGACAGGTGACTTAGAAGGATACAACGCTGGACATCTTCTACTTACTAGTCTATTTCAGCCAGCAAGTTCACGTTTACGGTGGTTCACTCCAGAAACGGAGGTGCCGTTGTGCGGACATGCCACGCTCGCCTCTTCTCATGTTTTGTTTAATGAAGTCGGTATGTCGAAAGTTTAGGAACCTTGGCAGTTAGTTTTTCTGGCCTAGATTCCACGGCGCCTTTAGAGGGCGTTTCCATAGTTGTTAGTCCTGAATACAGTCGCAACTAAATACCTGTGGACTTTTGCCCGTTCAAGGAGGCTCACGGCTGTGTCAACAATTTCTTGTGCCCTCTGCGCTTTCTCATGCACATTTTGTCTTCGTATCGCTCTGAACCGGGGACAGATCATCGTCCCGTCGTCGTATCGTCGCGCTCACAAATACAGTCGTTCTCGCCACAGAAACAGAAGCGCTTCGGGAGGATGGGGGAGGGAGGGGGCAGTTGAGTTCGACGCGGCGCCAGCTTGTTCTCCACCAACTACCTAGGTCCCCGTTAACCTTTTTTCGGTTAGTTTTGGCATTTCGCGTCATTTAGTATTCCTTTCACCTTCGTTAAATTCTAGGTAACAACTCATCTACGATCACATTTGCGACCAAATCTGGAGATCTCATTGTCAAAAGAGGAGCTCGAAAACTTGTTGAGATGGATTTTCCTCAATATGCCATCACCGCTATTCAGTTCCACACTGATCCAAGTCCATTAGCGAGAATATTTCCTGAGGTCAGAGACAGTATGAAAACCACTTCAAATGTCGCGGGGTGTTGGAATGACTTTGTTTAGGCTGGTTCCACCAGCAGCGTAGTGCGTGAAAAATCGGTAATTGCTCGGGCGCGCGTAAAATCCGCGTGAAAAAAGAACGCGAATTTGCGCATTTTGGGGAGATAAATGTTGACGGTTGGGAGAAAGGGGGTACTGGTGTGGTACCTGCAATGCAGTGACCTCCGCGGACTAGTTTTCAGCGGAGTTTTTAGTTTTTTTTTCACATGCTATATTAGAACACTCAAAGGCAGGGATAGCCGAGTGGTTGAGAGTGTAGACTCACGTTCACACCCTGAGCCACGAGTGAACGTCAATCCCTGCCGAGGCACAAACCTGCCTTGCAAAAAATTGCTGGCAGGCCAGCTGATGGAGGAACCCGTCACAACAATCATGACAAGTCGCAATAGAATCAGTGTTAATGCTAGGACGTCACCCGGAAGTGGCGCGCAGAACCCTCGCCCGAGTTCTGTGGTCAGTATGCGAGGGCTACCGAGGGGTGAACGACCTCGGCCAAAGAAGCTAGTTCGAATTGGGACCCTGAACGTGGGGTCGCTTACCGGGAAGTCTCGTGAGGTTGCCGACCTCATGAGACGCAGGAATATCCAAGTCCTATGCCTTCAGTGAGGGGCGCGGATTGGAGAATGTCAACCTCTACTACAAATGGAGCAACACTAAACGGATGGCGTGGCCATAGCGACGGCAGAATCCCTGAAGGGCACGTGCTGAGAAGGCCTGAGGACCACCCAATAAGGAAGGCACTTGGAATTCGAAGCAGAGGGCAAGCGACCACGAGGAGCCCCAAAGAAAAGATGGAGGACGTCATCAAGAAGGGTCTCACTGAAGTGAAGGCCACGGCAGAAGATGCGGTGGATCGGAGCAAGCGGCGACGTCTAACACGACCAGCGGACCCCTGCTTTCCCCTTTTTTTTTTTTATTTCTCTTTTTTTTGTTTTTTTTTCTTGTTTTCCTTTTTTTTTTTTTTTTTCTCCCCCCCTCCCTTTTCCCTTTTTTTTTTTTTCTTTTTTTTTTTTTTTCCTTTTTTTCTTTTTTTTCTTCCCCCCCTTTTCCTTTTCGACGGCGCGGTACTACTGCCAGGGAGAAGAGAGAAGCACTGCGAACAACTCATAAGCCGACAATCAGTTAGGTCCTGGTGCGAATGCCGTGTCCTAAACGCACCGCACTCAGGGTCGGATCTGGGTGTGTGGCGATTCTATCGTCGACGATAAGTAGGTCGCCGCGCTGGTGGGCGCCGCGTACGAGTCCTGCTGCGTCGTGCTCGTTCAAATTGTTAAAATGATCATCAAGCCATATTGTTTATGTTAATCCTGTACTGCTTTTCCCATTTTCCTATGATGATCAATGATTGTTTTTCCGCATTCAAAAGTAAAGGGGTGTAAGACTGGTCCCACGTTATTTGCTCAAAATTACTGATCCAATTTTGGGCTTTTCGGAACTTGTGAATACGCGGTCTTCGAGACTCATTTGTATGTCGGTAATGCAACTCCGGAATTGTCGCACCGCGCCGCCGCGCGAGACGCCGCGACGCGATGTGCGCGACGTGACCTGACTTGCCGACGATAGAATCGCCCGGGTCCCGTCGGATCTAGACCCGCAAGCAAATCCGACCCTGGAATGGACTGAAGAATGAGGTCCATGATGGGCGGCAGCTCGGCATTGAGAACCTTTTCCGTTCACCTATTGTTCAAATATAGAAGATGTGTGGCGCCTTCTCCAACGAAGGGCACCGAATCAAAGCGCAGCATGCTGACCCCACGCCCACTGCAACCGCACGTCCACAAAAGGGCGCGCAGTTACATCGACACTAGTACTCTTATCGCTTCATTTATAGGTACAGTTGATACGAAGCTTTGTTTCAAACAGAGCGGTTGCTGGCACGATTTCAACGTGAAACTCGTCCGAAAATGCTCGTCCACTGCCGTATAGAACAAAGGCTTTGCCGCAGACTTTTGACCATTAAGTTCGCTTCATCGTCATTTTCCCATTATAGCAACCGTGCTACCGTTTGCGAGCAAATGACAAATTGTCTGCCCTATGCCTTCAACTGGAAAATTCACAAGATTGAAAAAAATTCGAAAAAAAACACCTGATGTATTAGGCTGTTGAGAACTCTTCGGTTTCAGTTCCATGCTCCGCCTCATTTGCCCGAACTCATTCATGCATTTATTCCAAAGATTATACGGATTGAAGCTGTTGCTTATGCGAGTGCAGCAAAAAAACTGATCATTGTTATCGACAAAGAAACCACAAAGTATGTGCCAGTAGTTCCTCGAACTTTCTACTTTTTTCATTTTTGTCATAACTTTGCCACATTGGAAAAGAACTCTCACGATCAGTTACACTTGGAAGTCTTACAGATACTTGAAAAAATTACGGCAGACGTCAAAATCCTTCCCCTCAATCGGACTCTATATTCTGCCCC